GGGGGGGGGGGGGGGGGGGGGGGGGGGGGGGGGGGTCCACCACCTCCTGGCCTCTCTGGGGACCCATGGGGCTCACATCCCTGAGCAGAGTGATAGGGGAATGGTAAGGGGGGGCTGATGCCTGTTAGTTACACATTACACATCGGCGGGGAGGCGGGGGGTGGGGGAGACAGTTTAACCGGCGAGGGTCACTGGGCGTTTCTCTACTGCAAACTGCCTGGATTTCCCAGTCTCCTACTTACATGCCACCTTCTTCCTGTACCTCCTGATTTTTTGACATTTCTGTCCAAATGAGGTGGTCATTTGTTAATGTAGGTATAATGTTGATGGTCCCTCATTTTGTTGGTGTCTGCAAGTGGGCTGTTTATATGTGTGCGATTGTTATGTGTGAGTCTAACAATATATGGATGGATGGATGGATGGATGATGATGCGTAGATGGAGGGGTTCACAAGAATGACAGTAAAAACATCTTTTGAACATTATGCTAATGCAGTATCTCTATAATATCTATAATAAAGTTTATGCACTACTGCTCCTTGCGCATATGTAGATTGTATACTGTTGTACATTTATGTACAGTTTGTACTGCACTGCTGAGAGAAAACCCATGACCCAAGACATTCACTTACTAGTTCACTCATTCTAGTGATGTGTCAATAAAAGGGATTTGATTTGATTTGATTTGATCCGGCAGTGACTGCATGGTGTGGACTTCTGGTCTTCCCCCTAGATCCCGAGGCCCCTCCCTATGCAGTCTCGGCTCTCGCTTCCCCCAGCAGCGTGAGAATCCAATGGAAAGCCCCTTTGGTGCAGACGGGACCTACCTCCTACCTTGTTGACATCGTCATGGTGAGCACCTTCTTGACTGCTTCTTTGCGGCCCACATATCAGCACCAAGACGCCGCCACTCCGGTCCCCTGTACAGGATTCTTGGCAGTGTTAAACCAACCCTCAGAGTGATCATTTTGTACTAATGGAGTTTATATAACCTTACATTCGTCCATCTGTCTCTCCATTTTCTGTGACCTCTTGTTCTATTCAGGATTAATGAATTGACTGTGACTGGCCAGGATTATTGAATTGTTTCTGATTGGCCTGGATTATTGAATTGTCTCTTATATACACAGTTTTTTTCTGCTGTGTGGCCCAGTGACTGTCCCCCTGATGTGTTTTTCTAAACACCCCTGCGCTCTCCTTTGAATGTCCCCCCCCCGGACTTTGGACACTGCCCTACAGCGGCAGGAAGCGGTTATCTTGAGGCTCAACTTCCTGCAAGATCTGAGAAAAAAACTCCTCTCTCTGCTCCTTTCCAGACCCCCATTCCTCACTACTGTACGAGGTTTCAGTGGTACAGAGAGGAATGTCACCTCTCTTGGGTGATTTCCATTAGAGGAAGTGGGAGACATGGCTTTGAGTGTCCTGTTCAGGGCTCAGCGAAAGACTCATTTCCCAGACATCATTATGCGTAGCATCCCCTGCCCTACGCAGTCTTTCCACCTGTCCCTACATCTGGGCCCAATGTACCCTCTAGGAAATCTACTGTGTGAGCTGCCCAATAAAGACTAATACGTTTTAAGGGGGTGGAGATGACATACTGACTCAGTATCCTGTATTCAGCTGGTGGTATCTTTCTGGGGACTCGCCTCTCGCGGTGTCCTTCAGCTTCCTGCCGATGAGCTGTGTATGTGTACATGAATGTTAATCAGGCCCTGCTCTACTCGGTAACATACAATGAAGCAATGATTACATCTGATTACATCATTCAAGCAGATAAAGTCCTCACGCTGGTCCTGTTTTTTAAACAGTTGACTGTAGCTTTGTTGACATGTCTGGCGTGTAGTTAAACACGTGATCTAGGTGACTGATGTCCACACTTCCTCATCTGTCTTCTGCAGGTGGACGGGCCACATTTAAACCTAACCCTTGTGAGATGGTATGAAGAAACAAACGAGGTGGAGGTGACAGACCTCGCACCCTTTACCTGGTACAGTGTGACAGTGATGGCGTTCACGGGAGACTTAACTGAGGCCAGGTTGACTGGAAAAACCAGCGATCCGGTTTACGTCAGGACGCCGGAAATTGGTAAGCACCGAACGGGGATAAAATCAACAAAAGGATATTTTTCAATGCAAAAAATATCTGTAATGGAAAAAAAAAAATCAGGGTTTTTTTTAGGTGGAAACTAAGCAGTGGCAGTCTGTAGGATGTCTGCAACATGAAACGCCGCCTTCCTACATAGTCTATGAATATTTCAACAGAGCCCAAAGACCCCCCGAAGAACCTAACCCTGCACATAATCCCAGATGATGTGACAAGGGTGCTTGTGACGTTCTTCCCACCTGAGGAACCCAACGGTGACATCTGTGCCTACAGAGCCATAGTCTACAAGGAGGACCAGCTAGACTTTGAGATCCCCAGCCTGCGGGTCATCGAGGGAAAAAACCAAACTATCACCGCCATCGTCGAAGGCCTTAAGGGTGGACAACGTTACAGCATGAGGGTTTGTTTACCCAGAATGCACAGCATTGTGTTTTAACAGGACCTCCAGACTTACACCATGTGCAGAATGGCTATGCTATGTTGTGTCTATGACAGCCTTATTTTCATTCCTTACGCTTGTGCACAACAGTGCATGAATCTTCAGCTTAATGACCATGTAATTAGAGCTTATTAATGTGAGATTTCTTGGATTCCCAGATATCTGCTGTCAACGGAGCAGGTTCAGGGCCCAGTTCAGAGGTTGCATTCTCAACGAGCATTATTGGTAGGTTCTTACGTGTTTTTTTTTTCTGTGTGCAAATGACTGGGCCAAGTACGTGATATGTTTTAGATGGGAAGTATATGGTAATGTAAATAAAGCAGTACGTGAAAGGTGATAAAAGGGTCTTCCAGACCCATGAGTAAACAGCGATTTTTGTCATCCAGCTCCGCCAAAACCCAGCAAAAGACCGGAGCCCATTTTCGATACACCTGGGGTCGTAAGATTGAGTTCACAGACCATCACTGTCCCGATGCCTGCATGCTTTTTCACTGATGATCATGGGCCCATAGTCAAAGTGCAGATCATTGTTGCAGAAACAGGAGGTAAGACTGAAACCAAATTAACGTATAGTGTTCAGCTCTGGTCTACGGCCTCATTCTATTTAAAATATGCAAGGTGTTGCTTTCCTTTATTCATGTTTTTTTAATGCAGAAAAATAAAATTTGTAACCAAATTGAAGAGCAAATTTCCAAAACTCACTCAGTCCATGGCATACATTTTAGAGAGAATTTCTTAAAAAAATGTACACATTTCTGGGAAATGTGATTCAAAAGTTCTTCATTGGATTACATGAGAACTGAGTGAGTTTTGGTTTCCGATACTGTAACATATGATGAGGAAGCCTAGCTTTAGTTCATTGGTGGTCTCATCTCGAAAATAACAAAAAACGGACTGAGTGAGCTTGAGCAATCTGTACTTCAGCTGTGAGTGTTGGCAGCAGAGTGAAGCAGCTTCCTCACCATGGCTCTGCGTCTGAACAGTTAGCGTGACTCCATATGTGGCAGAGGTTTCCATCCAGTTTCCCTCTGCAGCCAAAAGACATACAGTGGGATGAATTTGCATTTATAAATTGCCTGTATTATGTAACGGTGCTTTTCCACTGGCAAATAGGAACCAGGCCCTACCTGAGCCATACCGCAAAGAGACACTAGTTCTAGATTGTTTCGATTTTCCTCTGCAGAAGGGTCAGCTCGGTAAAGGTGTTGCTGGGTTTGAAGAGCAACAAGCAACAGTGTCGTAAAACTGATGGGATGCTTATTTACACATCATTTGATTTACTGTGTGCTTGTTTTTGTTCGCACATCTGTGAGATTTGCCGTGAATTTGCCCATGCATGAATTTGCATTACGAGTCCATTCCGCTTAGCCATTCGCTAGTAATTTTTTAAGTAGGAGGTTGGAAATTTGCATATTTCGAGTCACTGAGAATGCATTAATACATACTGTAGCAATACTCCTAACAATGAATAAAATGTAGAATATGCTTTTTGCTCCTTCAGATGATCCATGCATATCGATGCAGATCACGGGTGTCTCCATGCATTTTGACAAATCAGATGGTTGTAACGCCATACTTTCGGCCCTGCTAGTAAGCAGGGCCTTCCATCATGGGTATGAGTTGAGTGTGGCTTGCATAATTTACAATCATTTACATCATTTTAATAATTTAGAAAATCTCTTCGCAGTTCGACTCGGGCACAGCTTGGCTCTTGGTGCCAATGGAAAAGCTCCATAAGCCTTGACCTTAAGAGCCTTGTGCCCGAAGCTGCCTGGGATGGATTCCACAACCCTATACTGGATAGATGATGGATTAAGGATCGTTAGTTAGACTTAGGCAATCGAGTTTATTGGCCATATTTGAACTTTCTAAGGTGCTTGGTCTGCATGCTTGCTGATCAATGAAGGTGAGGTAGGGGTGCAGTGTAAGTGTCTCTCCTTCTGATTTAATTTCTTAATTGCACAGTTATGGATAGCCCCAACGTGACAAACTGGAAGAGTGCCTACAGCTCAAAGCCAGCGCCGTACGCCACTGATGATGGCTTCTCGAACCCAGAATGTTCAGAGAGTATGAGGGCAATCAACGTCGCTGAAAACACGTACAGCATTGGGAGCGACACCGGTTGCCTATTGCCAGAAAACGAAAATGCATTCTGTAACGGACCCCTGAAGCCAAAAACTCGTTATGTGTGAGTATTGCGACGTGCCATGGGTACGTTGTTACACAGGAGTTTCATTCATTGTTTGTAGCTATTTGTTCTCCTGCTTACTTATTTGTTGTTGATTTTCAGGTTTAAATTTCGAGCAACAAATATTAGGGGGCAGTATACAGATACTGAGTATTCTGATGTCATCAAAACTGCAGGTAAAGTTTGTCTGAAATGAACTGACGGAGGCTACAAACTATGCATATTACATTTTGGGTTTGGTTAGTTTATTGAATTTTTTATTTGAATGCTGTACTTTTTTGGTTCAGCGACTTTGTTTGATTGCCTAGCTAATTGACATTCTGAAGGGTGGACCTGCCCATTCACGCAGCATTTCAGCTATGCTCCGCTTTAGATGGCTTTCATTTTTCCTTTAGATGTTTCCGTGGTGAATCGGGACAAGCAGATTATAATGGGGGTGCTCCTTTCATTCTTCCTCCTGGCCATTCTCATTATAGTGATCTGCATGTCTGTACGGTAAGTCAGCTGCATGAATTCCTGTGGCAGTCAGGTCACACAGGTCCCCAGATTACCCAGGTGGTTTGGATGACACTCCTTCTGCTGTTCCCCAGCAATCAGCTCATAACCAGGGGTGTACACATGGGCGGGACTACAGGGACATTGGTATCAGCTGAAAGCTGATTGGCTCCAGAATACCTTCTCACATGCCAGTCACCAATTCAAAATATATCATTGGCTAATGATAAGGTTGACCCCTCTGTATGAATTATGGCCCTTTTTACTGCCCCTGCTCACAAAACCATGTGTAACTTCTCCCTCGAACCCCAGGATCTGCCACAAGCAGAGGGAGGGAGGGACATACTCCCCACGGCAAGCAGAGATCATCGACACAAAGTTCAAGCTGGACCATGTGATATCGGCCGCAGACCTGGAACAGAAGGAGGACAAGCTGAGCCAGTGAGTATCTGGGGTCCCAGATCCAGGGCCTGGTTCCTTTCATGGGGCACTGCTTCCACAGAGCTTCTAATGCACTGATTGGAGATGGCAACAGAGTTACAGTGTTTATGGATACATGTAACTCCATGCTACAGAGTTACAGTGATTATAGATATATGTAACTCCATGCTACAGAGATACAGTGTTTATAGATACATGTAACTCCATGCTACAGTTACAGTGATTATAGATATATGTAACTCCATGCTACAGAGATACAGTGTTTATAGATACATGTAACTCCATTCTACAGAGATACAGTGTTTATAGCTACATGTAACTCCATGCTACGCATCAGAGCCACAGTACTCTCCAGTAAATAGTCCAAGACCATAACAGATATATCAGGATTGGTGGCCCATCAATGTAGCATAAAATACATCTCATCTCTGTCTGCCCATGAAGTGGCTTTGCGGGGGGAGGGCAGATAAAGGCGCCATTTGTTTAAATGTATTCTTACAAATCACTTTTTGGTGCAAAAGTCCAATTGATTGCTATTATCCCACGTGAATTTGCATGGAGTTAGGAGCAAATCAAAGGAAATGATGGCAAGACATAAACAGACTAACTCTGCTGAGAAAACACCACGTACTGGACTACGTTGAAGGTCTGTACGGTTCACTAGCAGGTGTTGCCAGGTGAAGATGTCTACCTTTAAGCCAGAACACTTACGACAAAATAAGTTGCTAAGCTAGACATAGGCAACTGTTTCATAACCAGATATGAAAGTGCTTTTGCCTTACTGTGGAAGAAAAATCTGAATGGGCGTGGTCAACAGAGAATCACTGAGGATCAGCAGGGATTCAGCGATGAAGAGACATGTGAGAATGTGAAAATGCAATGCTAGCCTTAGCTAATCTCCGCTAATGAAATTCAAAGGCGAGTAGCAGGACAAACCACAAGGAGCAAATATCTCCTCTACACATCTGTTATGTTCTCTGATTAATATTTCAATTGGTCTGTACTGGACTGAGAAACAAAACCAATTAAATCTGGGAAGGTCGATTTCAGCTGTTGTATCGTATTAGATTTCCTAGTGCTATAATGCTGACAGCTGAAGGTGGGATCCTGTTTGCATGCCTTCTCTCTAATTACTTTCCAGGAAAATAGCATTGTTGTTGTCACGAGACAGTTAGAAATCTGATCCGTCTTCATTTTTTTTTTATTCAAATATCGGAGAAACAACATTATGGGTGATCGCTGTTTTTCCACAATGCTGAGAAGCTGCTGTATGCTCAGTCAGTCTTGGGAAGTCCTTGAAGATGTGGTGTTACAGTTAAACAACTGTTTGCATGACACTGACTATTAGCATTAGCATAGGAGATGCCTAATCATTGTCTGCTCCATCTGTAGTGTAAGGGTCATCAGTCCAGGCACGGATCACTTATCAGCCGGCTAGTACTAGAATATTCACTGCAGCTTTAGAAGGCTCCTTAACCAGTTCTGGCTCCATGAAACTTTACTGAAATGCTGGAGGACTGGCTAAGTGAGCAAGCTTTTTATCTCAGTGAGCTCTCAGTAGGCTTGAAATCTTCCCTTATTGAGCTTCATTAATCATTAAAAGCAAATTCTATTCTTTTCTGCTGAGAGGGCGTGTTATTTTGTCTGAGAAGATATTCAGTCACATTTATGCCAAATTCGCTTGTATTGTTTCACACAGAGCTCTGCCGCCTGTCTGTCTCCCGCATGCCTGCCCCCAGTGTGACTAAAGCACCGTGTCCGTGATTAATCACTGTTATCTTTCTGTTTCCGCCTCCCATTTTACTCTGTTTGGCTTGACCCCACGAAGGCGGCTGCGGCTGCTATGCTAACTCACCTCTCCCCGGCTTTCTGTTTCCAGGTACCCCTCCTTATTCTTTAGACGGAAGGACATATTTGTCATACAGTAAGTTTTCACTCTTCCGGTGGCCTGTGCCTGTATTGTAACGGGACGTTGAATCGGGCTGCCCTCTGAAGCGCAGTCGTGCTGCGGCCGAGAGTTAAGCACGGGTTGACTTTCTCCTCGTTTCTGCTTTGCATGACTCGCCTCCTGATCTAGATGTAAGATACACAGTTGACCTTAGATGCTGTGGTAATTGCCAGGGGTCAGAATTGAACCATCTTCTGCAGTGCTGATTTAGAAATCAAGGCAGACCTTTCACAAGCCTCTTGTGAAATTCCTCACTGCTTGTGCATGTGTGCAGATGGTTGACCTCAATGACCTTCCGAAATAAGCCCTCCCACCTAGCACAGGCCGGCCTGCTGTAAAAATGTATGCAGTCAAATACAGCCTTTTGGCAAACTACTAGAAACAAATCTAGCATCAGAGTATATTTGTGCTGACAGATGCAAAGTATGTAGCTCTAAAGATCACGATGGTAGAGAACACGCGTGTAGTCGAAAGTCATTCTGAATGTTATGCTGTGTTTGCCTGGGAATCATGAACAGCTTGTTTGCTGCAGCGTATGAGAAATGCTAGCCTGCAGGTGCTGTGCTTCTCATGAGTATCCTGTAATGGATTTTTGCTTTCTAATTGTTCACAATGTTGTTTTTCTTTTGTGAATCTGTTTCAGGCTTCTCAGTTATAGAAGGTCTGTGAAGTAAGTGTCTGTCGATGCTGCCTTGTGTGTGAAGCTCTTTGCTGAGTACAAACTTGGGTTCAATGGGTTTGGGGAATTAGAAGCTTGGCTCCAGGCCCCTCCCCCTCCACATTGATAAACATAAATCAGTGGCCCATGACTAAAACTCTGGTAACAGAAGATGAGCCCCGTCGAGCAAGTCAGCCTTTTACTTTGGGAAATTATTCGGGCCGTTCTTGGTGCTTTTCGGGGGCCCCAGAGCGTATCGTCATTCAGCAATGAGGTCAGCCAGTACTGCGCTCCCTTTGGTTAATGCAGTACTCAGTACTCAGTACTCAGTACTCAGGAACGTAAGTCTGGAGCCAGGATGCGGCACTCTGAGAGAACATTTAGGGCTGTCATGAACTGGGGCATAGGATCAGGGGGATGGGGGAGACTTCTACCCCCCAGTATTTAATTTGGCTTCATGCTTCATGAACACGTCATTAACACATAACTGTCCTAGTACCTTCGTAATGTGTTAGTGCACATTTTGGTAACATAATACTCAGATTCATTAGCCAGTAATACAATAGATTTTATGGAAGATGGGGCAGGATTGCTGACCATCTCAGATATGCGTGTCTGTGTGTGTCTGTGTGTTGATGATGTATATATTATGTCGCCACAATGTTATAAAACCCAGTTATTTTGATGTTGTGGGAAAATTTTTTTTGGTCCTCACAAAGTGAAACTCAATTTTATAAAAATCTGACTGCAATCAAAAAACAAAAAAAGTCGAAAGTCTTGTATTTTGGTTACTTGTGGTTAAGGTTAGGGCTGAGTGGGGATTAGGGTTTTCCCCATAGAAATCAATGTAAATACAAATGTGTGTGTGTGTGTGTGTGTGCGTGTGCGTGCATACAGGTTTTCCTTTTTGAGGATACATTTCGTGAAAATCTCAGTGTTTTACAACAATGGTATCCAGGAGACATCCCAAGCTTAAACTCAGAGCATGGTTGTTATAAGATCTGAGCTATATTAATAATTCGGGGATCGTTGGGATTCATTTGGGACTCATTGAGATTCATTTGGGACTCATTGAGATTCATTTAGGACTCATTGAGATTCATTTAGGACTCATTGAGATTCATTTGGGACTCATTGAGATTCATTTGGGACTCATTGAGATTCATTTAGGACTCATTGAGATTCATTTGGGGCTCGTTGGGATTCATTTAGGACTCATTGAGATTCATTTGGGAGTCATTGGGATTCATTTAGGACTCATTGAGATTCATTTGGGGCTCGTTGGGATTCACTCGGGGCTCATTGAAGATTTATTTGGGAGTCATTGGGATTCATTTGCAGCATTGTAGTCAAAGTCAGGGATAGTATTACATGTACTTATGTGTGAGCGTGTGTCTTTGGCACCCATGAGAACCGGCCACTGACCCACCTTCCCATCTCTTCTTCAGGCCCATTAGTAAGAAGGTCTTCCTGCAGCATGTGGAGGACCTGTGCTCCGACAACAACGCTAAGTTCCAAGAAGAGTTCTTGGTACGTGGGCCAGAGTCGACCCGTCTATCAGCCAGTCCTCCCTAAAGACCAGAGGCCAGTCAAGTTAGATACGCCTTTGATCGCGCTCATTCACGTCAAAGCTGTGGGTCTGTGATTCCTTATGTCCCGAGAAAAGATGGCAGGGGTTAAAGATCTTTTTATATCAGCAAGAAAACATGTCAGCTTTAAAGAATAAACAATTAGTCAGTGGAAAAAAGCTCATACTTTTTACAGCATTTTTGAAATACAGCATTATTTTTATTGGAGTTCACCAATAGTCTAGTGTCCTTTAATTGTCCACAAATTTGAGCACTATTCATGTGATTTAAATTCATTTTACTGTAAAGAATATTTAGCCGCATTTTTCCAACAATGTATAGCAGTATTACTGTAGGTTAAAGCGTGCCCTGCCCTTGGACTGAACATAATTGCAGAGGTCGCTTCCAGACACCAAAAAGTATGATTGTAACATTTGACATGGGCAGGAGGAACCCGTGTCAGACTCCTGAGGATCTGCAGTTCAGCTCCAGCACACTGACACTGTCCATTTCCTGCAGGAGCTTCCCAAACTGCTGCCGGACCTCGCCACCACGGACGCGGACCTGCCCTGGAACAGGTCCAAGAACCGCTTCACCAATATCAAGCCATGTGCGTACTTCATGTTCCCAGCTAAAGCATAACCGTATCATAACCGTATCATAACCATATCATTCAGTTCCAGCTGTGGTTGTGTTTCTCGGCTATTATGATCAAACCCATAGTGTGCAATCAAAATTTTAATATGAGGGCAACAATCAATAAGCACCCATGTGTTCTTTAGCACCGAAAAACATCTTAAAATTATTTCCTGCATGCAGTTATAGCTGAAACAGTGTTCATGCAGGAGTCTTCACCATCGAGGAGGACGCGCGAGTTTCACTGCCTCCCAGAAACGTTACCCCACACAGCTGGGCTAGTAATGCAGCAAAAGCCAGTTGAGGTTATGCAGGCTGTAGTGCCATATGATGATACCCTATGCCATCGATTCACCCTCAGAGCGCTGTAACACAGCCGCCCACCTCCTCCCCCAGACAAATCCGGCTGTTCATTCAGCTGGAATCGATGTTGTGCCAGATATGGGACCAGATGCCTTCAAAACAAACACCGCGTCTGGGAATTCATTCACCACTGGAACTTCAATCAGGCACTGTTTATAGAGGGAGGCTGAGATTCACATGGTTCAGTCTCTCTCTTCATTAATTACCAGCAATTATGTGTCGTTTCTGATACTGGATGTACCTAATGAAAATTCACAATGCTCATTTTTAGTCTTTGAAGGTGAATTATGTGTGAATGAATTTACATTTTTTCAGATTTATGGTGGAAAATGATATGACTTACTGACATGTCATTGTTTCCTAGACAACAGCAACAGGGTGAAGCTGCTGTCTGAGCCTGGCGCGCCCGGATCGGACTACATCAACGCTAGCTTCGTTTCGGTAAGGTCAGCCAGCAGGGGGCGGGGCAGAGTGACAGCCATGAGGTGGCATCCCCGACCTGACACCAGCAGTGGGAAGAGGTGACACTTTGGCAGTAGAATCACTGTGCTGCTTCAGCCAGCTGCCTCTTAGTTATCGTAGTGCTTTCCGCCGGGTCAAGTCAGAGTCAGTGATTGACAACACAGAGTAATCCCACCCCCCGCTAATTTTATAGCTACTTTCCTCCCACTGCTTGTAAAATGGGTTAGACATACAATGGAATTAGCCTCAGGCCGGGTGTTCCTAAAGCAACACGTGCGGGACTCCGTCCTGATGGGGGGGGGGGGTCGCTGGGGCGGCCTCATTTCCAGCCTTGCGTATAACCCTGGTCAGCTGAGGTCCGGCCGCGATTGGACCTCTCCCGTCCCCTGTGAGAATGTCAGCCTGGAGCGTGGAGAGGGCTGGAATTCTGATGGGAAAGGAAAGGAAAGTTCCACCAGTGCCTCTTTTTTTTTTTTAAGTTTGGACCCATCGCTCTGTATATTTTTATCTGCCCATGACCGGCCTCCAGTAAGTGAGGAGATTATCACTGTTCATGTTTCACATGTTATCTTAGACAGCATTTCTCTGGGACACCTCCAATAACTGCGTACGACTGGTGAATGCTTTAGATCGTGGCTTCATCATTTTTACGTTTCATTATTTAGTGGTGAGTAAATGGCTTTTTTTCATCAGTGACTGGGAATATTTTAATAGCACTGCTGTGAACTTGATATAAACATTAAGCAACAGTGCACCTGCAGTAACTTCCAGGAAATACCCTGCCAGTTATAAAACTGTAAATAAAGGATAAGATCATAGTATCACAGTCTGTACATGCAGGGAACAGCGGCTGTGTGAAACGATTCCCTTTGAGTCTGTAACCTGTACAGCCTGGATTTCTTCCATACTGTTTCTGCAGCACATGTTCATGTATTGGCAGACCTATAAGGCTACAAATCATATTTGTATAAAACATTTTTTTTTATTTAATCCTCGCAAAAATCAGTAAAAATGATCTGCCTTGTGAAGACAGAAGAAATTGATGACTTGATAAAAATCGTTCTAGCCTTTTCTGAAAATGCAGTATGTACTGTATGTGTGTGTGTGCGTATGTGTATGAGTATGTGTGCGTATGTGTATGAGTATGTGTGTGTATGTGTGCATATGTGTATGTGTGCGTATGTGTGCGTATCTATATGTGTTTGTGTATGAGTATATGTGCATATGTGTGTGTGTGCGTATCTATATGTGTTTGTGTATGTGTGCGTATCTATATGTGTTTGTGTATGTGTGCATATGTGTATGTGTGCGTATCTATGTGTTTGTGTATGTGTGCGTATGTGTGTGTATGTTTATGTGTATGTGTGCGTATGTGTATGTATGCGTATGTGTATGAGTATGTGTGCGTATGTGTATGTGTATGTGTGCGTAAGTCTACTGCACAGACTCAGTAGCATGTCACCGGGAAGACATTCTGGGCCCCCTGACAAAATGTCACCATGGTCCCTCAGCCCCCCTTACAATATGTTAATTTTACGTATTCTGGGGCTCCTGTGAAGTACTGGGGCCCCTGAATCTGTCAGGGTATCCATGCCCCTCAGACACCCCTGGGGTGTCACCGTGACACCTGTAGCTAGCACAGCTAACGGTGTGTCCCCTTGTGCCCGTCTGCAGGGCTACCTCTGCCCCAATGAGTTCATCGCCACTCAGGGGCCGCTGCCGGGCACAGTGGGGGACTTCTGGAGGATGATCTGGGAGACTCGGGCCTGCACCATCGTCATGATGACCCAGTGCTTCGAGAAGGGCAGGGTGAGCATGCGCTCTAAGCACATCCACCTCAGTCTCTCCTGCTTCCCCACACTTAACCCTCCTTTTCTCTCCCCCCTTCAGGTCCGCTGCCACCAATACTGGCCCGAGGGGGACAAACCCATCTCCGTGTTCGGAGACATCGTCATCACCAAGCTGACGGAGGATGCCCTCCCTGACTGGACTGTGCGGGTGCTTAGAATTGAGCGGGTCCGTATGACTGCATTTGAATCATCGTCTCCATGATCGCTTGAAGATTTTCAACAAGAAAACACAGGCAGCGGATGTCTATGTCTGCAATGCCAGCTAACATTTTTTTATTCAAACCCTTAATTTGTGATTCTATAGGATTAATGAGAAGCAAATATGATCAAATATAAGCAAATTATATTTCATGCCATGCAAAGGACAGATATAACTCACTGCGGAAAAGGTTCTCTGAATGACTCATTTGAATGATTCACTTCATTATTTTTCTGGGTATGAAGATAACTAATGGCTTTTGAATAGGGATGCTTATTGTGTTTTATTTTCCATCAGAGATGTAGACTTGCTGATTTGTTCTCAAGGTAACCGATTTAACAACCATACCGATTCTCCATCCAGTATAATGACTATATGCTGGTAAACCACTTCAACTTCACATCTTGGCCTGAACATGGAGTGCCAGCAACTAGCACTGCTCTGATCAAGTTTGTGAGATCCATCCGGACCATCCGAGGCCGTGACAGGGGCACTGTTGTGGTGCACTGCAGGTGACTGACCCAAACAAATCCAGAATGTCAGGCGAATCTGTGCACAGGTGCTCCTCGACTTACGATGGGGAAACGTTCCTGTGAACCGATTGTAATGAAAAATATTGTAAGTCAAATATGAAAACGAATAAGTAAATAGGTAAATAAATAAGTACTGTCACTGAATAAGTAGTAAATGATTAATGTAAGTAACTAAATACCAGTAATTGCAAAGTAAACAAATGAATGCAAGTTTATTTGGTTGAATAGAAAAGAAACACCATAAGAGTACTGTAAGTTAATAAATTAAACTCAGTATGACGTGCTTAAGCTTACAAGCGCTACAGAGACTGGAAGCGTGGCTGTGTGGATGTTGCTGTCGCGCAGCATCAGTAGAAAGTATCGCATGGCATATCGTTAGACCAGGAACAGATCAAAATCCAAAGCTGACTACTGGATGTGCATCGCTACCGCGCCATCGTAAAGCTGAAATATCGCAAGTCGAACCATCGTAAAGCGAGGAGCATCTGTAGCTGGTAGGAATTCAAGAAGGTCTTGATACATGGATCTGTTGTGTGATACAGTGCCGGTGTGGGTCGGACTGGAGTATTCATCTCCCTGGACCACCTGATCCAGCACATGAGAGACCATGACTTCATTGACCTGTTCAGCTTGGTAGCAGAACTCCGGGGTGAGAGGATGTGCATGGTGCAGAACCTGGTGAGCGCAAGACCGTGACGTATGGAACAAACACTGGAAATCCTCCAGCTCCGTGTTTTTAATCCTAAACTGTGGCTGAGGCTATTGATTTTTAAACGCTGATCTCACAGAGATGCCGGCGAGGTCACGTGTTCTGGCCTGCTTGGTGCTTCCGTACAGGTGCAGTACATGTTTCTGCATCAGTGCGCTCTGGAGATCCTCTCCAGGAAAGGGATCAGCCATCCAATCTGGTTCTTCAGTAGTTCCGGTTTGCAGAGGAAGGACTCTCTGGACGGCATGGAGGGTGAGTGTGGAACCTTCAGGATCTGTACTACAGATCTAGGCCAGAGTGGCAGGAATCCAGAGGTGTTGACTCCTAATGGGCATGACTTGAGGTTGTACAGTAGCTAGATCCCACAATTACTGCCAGACTATGGCATGACAAATATCTCTGTGTGACAGCATCACTTTTTTTAACTTCTTCAGGTGACGTCGAACTCGAATGGGAGGAAACGACCATGTGACTGGCATCAGTTGTAATCAGCTTTTATCAATGCGCTTCAGTGTTGCCTTCAGTGGTTAAATTGAAGCTCCTTGACCTAATCATGTACCTCGAAACAGGGGCCAAATCTCTGCAAATAGGACCCAACTGCGTCTGTCCTCTTATGTTTGTGCTGAAAGAAAGACATCCTTTTTGCTTTTAACATAAAATGTAATTGTGTAAAGGTAACTGTCCCATGCAGACAACGCTGCCTGTATTCTGTAGTTTGGGTTATTTTCTGAATTTATGTATTATGTTTTTGTAATGTAAATTACGCCAAATGGGGTATTGCCGTGTGTGTATATAACTGTGTTTTTTCACCCTTGTGTTTATTTTAATAAATCTGTGTTATTTCTGCTTTTACTGGCTGTATTGTTTCTTGAAGCTCCCTATCTAGTACTACATTTGTGTGGATTTCCAGGCTCGGAGAGAGGAGACTTCTACGTAAAGCTTCTACAGTTGTGGTTCCCAAATTTAAATTAAGCCTCATGCCATGGTATCACATGACCCTCCCCCCCCCCCCCCCCCCCTGCGCTCAGCCAAAAACACAAGACAGCTGATGGACAGGGGGAGAAGATTTATCGATCGCCATCAGGCACATAATAGTTGCCCTGAGTTCAAGGGCTTCTGAGGTACCGTCCCCGCTGTCACAGTACATAAAGGGACTTTCTGTCACATGACTGGCATGTTGACGTTTGCGGGGTGTCTCGCCATTTTTGAAGGATCACTGTGCTCTTTGAGTTTCTAGCATAACTCCTTAATGAAGGTGCTGTTTGTGTTTCAGGTTTCCTGTGTTTTCAGGGGGTTGTATACAATAAGAGACAGGAATATAAAAGCATGCGGAAATTCAGCAAGCAGCTTAAAGCTTAGGTTTACATCTGCCAAGATCCCGATGACAAGGACCATTTAATGTTTATTGCATTTTGTGTGCAACATTCAGCTGCATCATTATCTGGGACGGTTAAATCAGATGCATAGGCCTAGTACCCATTGTAAGGTAAAATGCATTATTTAAAAATAAATAAGTATATATATATATATATATATATATATATATATATATGTGTGTGTGTATGTATATATATATATATATGTGTATGTATATATATATATATATATGTGTATGTATATATATATATATATATATATATATATGTGTATGTATACACACTCACCTAAAGGATTATTAGGAACACCTGTTCAATTTCTCATTAATGCAATTATCTAATCAACCAATCACATGGC